TATATATATATATATATATATATATATATATATATATATATATATATATATACCCAAAAAAGAAGTTAAGTTGTTATCGAAGTCTCTATTAAATTGACTGATGTTGATTGAGATTCTTGAATTTAGAGTAGATGCAGCCAAAAGCTTGACTTCGAAAAGTCTTTGATGATCATCTGTGTATGGGCGGAGCTAGAATTTTAAGATTAGGGGGGCTAAAGATAAAAAACACAAGTATATCAAATACATATAAGTGTTCAAAACACATGTTAGAACTAAATGTTTCAAAATTAGTCATGCCTAGTTATTTTTAAAGGGACCATTAATTTAAATTACAAGTTTCTATTAGTAAGTTGTATATATTACATTATATAATATAGGAGGGAAGTCAAAAAATTGGAGGCCCGGCCAGATTAAGCCCATGAAAGCCTGGCCTGGCCCGCCCATGAAAGCCCGGCCCGGCCCGCCCACAAAAGCTCGGCCCGTTAGGCCCGCATACATATATAATTATGTATAAATAAGGGTTTAGGATTATGATTACATCACTTGAATGACAAATCCCCCTCTTTCATTTTTTTTTTGTGTGTGTTACTTGTTTGAAAAATTGTGTTTCTATTGAATTCTACTCATTCCTAATTTATAATTGGATGATTAGCACATTAATTTGTCTCATTTATTAATACAACAATTATATATATATAATAAAGCGAACAACATATCATATCACCAAATATAATCATACTTTTCTTTAACACATCACCAAACATTTGCATATTTATTCATACCATCCTTATATATATATATTCCAATAGTAACCAAAATCAATGATCTATATTAAATCCATGCTACTTTAACGGTAAAAAAAAAACATCCAATGGTCAAAATAATATTTTAAATTAATCTAAATCAAATCCAACCTCAAAACTCACTCAAAACTCTATAAATACTCACCCATTTCTCAAATAATCCACCAAAAATTATATTTGTGGAATTTCAATTTTTTAAGGTTAAAATCTTCAAAAAATTAAATTATTAAGTTATTTAAAAAAGATTAAATGAAGAAACGTTATCCATTTTAAAAAATTAGACTTAAACCATTATTAAATAATTTAATAAAGTTACGACTTAAAATTTGAGTATAAAGAGTTTGGTGAAAAAACTGTTTGAGTCCGGGGCAAACCCAAATAGTTACTTTTTGGAGAGGGAAAATTTGGGTTTAGCCCCGAATGGGTTGGAGAATGCCTAATGGGATGCATTATGCGAGGGCAATCTCACTGAAGGGTCAGGTACTCCTTGCCTATAAATAGGTAATGGTTTGTGTGCATTGTACAAGCCTGAGTAAGAAAGAAGAGTGAGGACCATATAAAAAGAAAGAAAGAGAAATTCCGAGAGAGTTTTCTTACCATTGTGGTGCATCAAGGATAAATGGCAAGAGGAGTTAAGTATTGTATTGCTCCAAAAACCATCATGAACCTTATTATGCTCATTTCGGTTCTCTGCTTATGCACCAAATCAGTCGAAGTTGAAGCACAAGCTTCGCGTCTGCCTGCTGAAGAAGGTAACTTACTCTTCTTCTTGTTTAAGTTTGTATATATTGGTAATACTAATATCCATGCATTCACTCAAGCCTCACTTCAATCAAGTTTTAGCGGCAGTATGCCACTGTTTTGATTTTTTTTCACTAAAAATTTGTAATTTTGGACTGAAGGAATCAAACCAAACCACAATTAGTTTCGTGTGGTTTGTTTTGACCTTTTTGAAACCCTCTAAACTAAATCAAACCAACCTCTTTTTTATTATTAATTTTTTTTTTCACTTGGTATTATTCATTATCATCCTTTACTAACATGTTTCATCTCATCCATTGATATCAACCGTTACAAAAATTAAAATACATAAACCATTTGAATTTGATGCTATCTCTCTCTCTCTCTCTCTCACACACACACACTAAGAATTTCTTCATATTCAAAGGTTGTTTTCTCAACTATTGTTTAATTTACGACATGAAACTCTCTTTATAACGTGTTCAATTAGTTCGAGTAAAGGAACTAAGGAATAAGTAAAAGAATGAATATGCATGAGATCAATTACTACCATTCAATCAATCTAGTTTCTTTTTAGGTATTGGATTGTATCTTTTAATGTGAAATTCATACAAGTTTTATTCTTATATGTTAGTAAATGCAACAGAATTAGGGAATAATTCAAATACTCATATGTTAATAGTAATCACTAGGAAAGTCAGATTTTAGAATAGGCTTTTTATCACAAAACGTCTCTAAGGTTCACGAAACTATCATATTGTATCCTTTTTTTTTTTTTGGTGTTGTTCGTGGTCCTCAAGGTTAATATATGTGCACACAAATAGTCCTTCTGTCAAAAACTCCGTTGGTTTGTTGATGTGGCATATATGTGGAGCCCACATATCCAATAATATAGTGCCATATGTATTTAAAATACAATATATATATATATATATGTTAAAAATAATTTAAATTTTAAAATACAACTTTTCTTTTGGTTTTTTCATTTTTCATTTTTATGATTTTTAAATTTTAAATTATTTAAAAAATATATATTGTATTTTAAATACACGTAGCACTATATTATTAGATACGTGGACTCCACATATATGCCACATCAACTAACTAACGAAGTTTTTTTATGGAATCTGAAGGTTTGGACTATTTGTGAGCACGCATATTAATCTTGAGGACCATGAATGACAAAAAAAAAAATCAAACAAGAAGGACTCAATCTGGTAGTTTTGTGAAGCTTAAGGACGCTTTGCAATATAAAGCCTTGAAGGGGTCCACGTTGTCAAATTTCACGTACCAAAAAAAGATTCGAAAAACTTTTCATTGTGCCGACAAAAAAAATCCTAAAAAGGGAAATGAAAAACTTGTCGTAGTCAAAGAAAGCAAAAACACCTCCCTCGACATCAATAATGTAATCGAATCGGCCAACTAGGTTCGAAGTCAGACATAACAACAAACACACACCCGTCAAAAGTCATTGGCTCATAAGGCTAAGAGGGACCCTTCATTAACAACAGAGATTGAGACTGAGACTGAGATTGAGCCAAGAAAGAATAAGGATAATACAGATATCAGGGATGGATATGGCAAGATTTCATTTTGATGTTTCAAAAGCCACCATGGACCTTGTCATTTTGGTAGCCATGTTGGTCCTCTGCTTCTGCATATCCACAGTCAAAGTTGAAGCACAATCTCTTCTTCTTCTTCTTCTGAATGTTTTTTCAAGTTGGTATTGCTGATACTCAAAATCTATGCACTAAAGCCTCAGTTTTTGTTTTTGTTTTGAAAAAAATGAAGCCTGGGGTATTTTTTTGAGTTGTGTTGAACAGCAGAGAACAGAGTGCTCAATGTAAAACTTGGTCTTCTTGATTGGGAATTAGAACATTTTAGGCTTTCTAGTGCTACTATGTTAGAGCACTCCCAGTTCAATGAATTAGAACCCATATGATTTTACATGTTGGTTAGATTAGATATAAACTTTTAAAAAAAGATTTAAAAAAAGAAAGAACTTGTTTTCATCCTAATTTATATTGATTTAAAAGCATAAATAAAGGTTACAACTTTATAATCGAAAACGAAATGAAAGAAGCTAAAGAGTTGGACCTGAATTTTCTTTCATCATTACAAGTGGAAATGGATATGAAATTCAATGATTGGGTGAGATACAGAGCATGATCTGTATCTTCTAGAGAGGTTTTCTACGTTAGAATGGTGGGTGGCAGAAGGCCCAAGCCCAATCACAATTTTGTCATCAACATTAATTTGGGCCTATATCAGGCTCAATCACTCTATTTTTCTTTAAAAATTGAAAAATAAACCTAGTCACTTTTTTTGCACCAGGCCAAGTTGGCCCAGTATGAGGCCTATGCACTCATAATATTTTTGATCAATCAGGCCTACACACTCATAATTGAAGGCCTATATCCAATATTACCTCATCTTTATTATAATAATAAAAAAGTGCTGCTAAACGAACCTAAAATTAACTGAGTACACCCTACTACCAAACTATTTATTGAATTACTAATTTACCCTAATAGAAAATGACCAAAAAGGATATATTGAATTATGAAACTCCATCGTCGTCTCCTCCACCAGACATAGCAATGCTTCCTTTATAACATTGTCTCCTCCACCGTCACACTAACGCCGTCGTCGCATCCGCTTCTCCACCGTTACAGCAACGCCGTCGTCGTACCATTATACTAGTGTCGTGGTCGTCTGATATTGGTAAATCTCATTTTGATTTTGTTATCAAATGGGTTATACTATCTTGATTTGTTCTTCACTGCCCACAATGTTTCGTAACCTTCCTCTGGAAATTGGTTTTAATTTGTTCTTCAAAGGGAGCAGTTTCTGGGTTGTTTAATATTGATGATTTGAAGAGATCCACGACCATGTGGGTATGCTGCAGACTTGCTACAAACATCGGAAATGCCTTTATAGCTTTTCTGGTTTAGATCCAAATAATATGTTGAGGGCCCATGACAATCCCTTCATATAACTTGTGAAATCAAATAATAAGTTCAATGTTTGTGTCTGTAAATTCAATACATTTATAAATATAAACATAG